AGCAGAGAGCAAAAAGCGCAGGGGACAGAGCAGACCAAAAAGCGGCAAGGGAGAAGGGAGAAAGAAAAAGAACGCAGAGAGCGGCAAAGAAAAAGAGGCGGAGAGGGCGGAAACAGAGCAAACAGAGCAGAAAAGCAAGGGCGGGACGGGAGAGAGGCAAAGAGAGAAAACACGCAGAGCGAGCAAGAGAAAGCAGGCCAGAGGGGGGAGCGGCAGCAAAGAGACCGGCGCAGCAGGGAAGAGCAACGACAGAGGCGCAGAAGGGGGGGAAGCAAGACAACACGGGGGGGGGAGCAAAACAAGAGAAGGGAGGAAAGGAGCACGGAGCGGGGAAAGCCGGGAGGGGCACACGGAGCGGGGAGAGCCGAAGCAGCAGGGCGGAGGCACGGGCGGGAGGCGGGCGCGGGGGAGCAAAGCACGAGAGCACGGGAGACGGGCGACCGGAGGGGAAGACGGGGGGAAAGGAACGCGGAGGCGGGAAAGCCGGGGAGAGGAGCGCGGCGACGGGAAACCCGAAGCAGCAGGGGGCACGGGCGGGAGGAGGGCGGGGGAGCAAAGCACGAGAGCACGGAAAGGCAGGGGAGCGGGGAACCAAGAGGGGGAGAGAGAGGGAAGGGCGCGGGGAGAGAAGAGCAAGGGGAGGAGGAGGAGGACACCACCGCGCGAACCACGAGAAGGGGCGGGGGGGCGGGACGGCGGGCGGGACGGAGCGCGGGACAGGCGCGCGACACGAGAGAGACGGCGCACACAAGCGCACACACACGGGAGGGGAGGGAGGGCCGCGGGGGCACCAGACGCGAACAAGCGAGGGAAGAGGGGGGGGAGCGCGGGCGGAGCAAGGGGGGGGGGGCGAAAAGGGGGAAAGGCGAGGCACCCCCCCCCCCCCCCGCGAGACGGGCACCGGACCGCGGGGGACCAACAAGGGGGAGCAGAGCCGGGGAGCCGAGGGAGGGGGAGACCAACCGGGGGGAGGAAAACACGGGCCGAAGGGGGGAACGGGGGGGACGGCGAGAGCCAGGCGACAAAGGGGGGAGGGGAGGAAGCGGGCAGAGCGCGCGAGGAGGAGGAAGAAAGAGGGAGCGCAAAAGCGAGGAGGCGCACGGGAGAAAGGGGGAGGAGGGGAAAGGGCGGAGGCAGGGACACGGAGCGGCGGGACACGAGGAAAGGGGGAAGGGAGGGCCACGGGCCCGAGAAAGAGGAAAAGCAAGACGGCGGGGGGGAGAGCCCGGAGGCGCCACAGGACGGACAAAAGCCAAACCGGAAGGGACAGCGGACGAGAGAACGCGGAAGAAGCGGGACAAGAGGGCCAAGGAGAGGCGAGGCAAAGCCGGGGAGGAGACAAGAGGGCCGAAGAGCCGAAAGGGGGCGACGGCCAAAGAAAGAGGGGAAACGCGCAGCAAGAGGGGCGAAGGAGGGAGGAACAAGAAAAAGACAAGAAGCGCACAAGCGCCAGGAAGAAGGGGGAAGAGGGCAAAAGGCGCGCAAAGGAAAGGGGGGCAGACAGGGAAGCGCGAAGGAGCAAAGGGCGGGGGAGAGAGGAGGGAGCGGGGCAAAAAGAGGAGCCAAAAAAGAAAGGAAGCGCAAAAGCCGACGAGGCGGACCAGCGGCAGGGGAGAGGAAGGGGACGGCGAGGCGCGAGCACCGAGAGCGAAGAAGGGGGCAACAGACAAAGGAGGGAGGGAAAAGCAGAGGAGGGCGAAAGGAAGGCCAAAGAGGAGGAGGGGCAGGAAGCGCGAAAGGCGGCGCGAAGGGCCGAACAACCGGCAACCGCCAGGGCAGGAGAAAAGAAGGGGGAGGGGAGGACGGACGAACAAGGGGCGCGGGGGGAAAAAAGGGAGAAGGGGGAGGCGAAAAGGAGACAACAAAAAGGCGGCGCGGGGAAAAGGCAGCGCGCGCAGAACACAAGAAGAAAAAGGCGAAGAAAACAAGGAGGGGGCGACAAGGGCCGCAAACCCGGACAGGGGAAAAGAAAGGGGCCAGAGCCGAGCGGGAGCAAGGAGCAAGGCAAAAAGGGGGAAGCGACGCCGAACAAAGCCGAAAGCAAAAGGGGCAAGCGCGACAAAAGAAAAGCGCGCGGGAGCAACGAACCAAACGAAAAAGGAGGAGGCGGAGGAGGCAGCAGCAAGCGAGGAAAGGGCAGGGCGGAGGAGGAGACGGCGCGAAGAGGCAAGGCAAGGGAGGGAGGACAAGGGAAGAGGGGCGGAGGGCGCGGGAAGCAGAGGAAGAAGAGGGAACAGCGAAGGCGGGCAAGGCGGGGAAGGGGCGGGGGGCGGGAAGCGAGGGACAAGCGAAGGCGAGAAGGGCAAGAGAGGAGGCGCACGCAGCCGCAACGCAAGGAGCGCAAGAAGAGGCGAAGCGGGGAAAAAGAAGAAAGGAAGAAAAAAGGGCAAGAGGCGGGACGGGAAGGGAGGAAAGGGAAGAAGGAAAAGAGGCAGCGGCAAGAAGAGGGGAAAGCAAGAGAGGGGAGAGAACAGAACCGGCGACAGGGCGACGGGCACGAAGGCGGCGAAAAGGAGAGAGAAAAGGGGGAGCAGGCAAAAGCCAGCAGGAGAGAGAACCGGAAGGGGGAGGACGCCACAGGGCGCAAACCCCGCAAAAGCGGACGAAGGCGACGACGACGGGAAAGAAGAAAGGGCAAGGGGGAAAAGGGGGGAAAAGGCAGAAGAGCACGAGGAGACAAGGACGGGGCGAGCAAACAAAAGCAAAGGGGAAGGGGGAAAGGCCGAAACAAGGGGGAGACGGCAAAGCAACAAAAAGCAGCAAAGAGAGGCCAAAGAGGCAAGGGCAAAAAAGAGGGCAGAGAAAAGAGGGAAGCGGGGCGAGAAAGAAAGGGGGAGAGGGAGCCCACGCAAAAGAGGGGGGGGCAAGAGAGGGAAGGGGGGGAGAGACCAAAGCAACCAGCGCGGCCCAGGGGCCAAAAGAGAAAAAGGGGCAAAACCCGGCGCCAAAAAGGGGGCGAAAGGGAGGGAGGAGGAGCGGGGCGCAAAGGGGGACAAAGCGCCGCAGCGGAAGGCAAGAAGAGCAAGGGGGGGGGGGACCAAAAAGCACGAACAGGAAAGGACCCAAGCAAGGAGGGGACCGAAAGGGAAGGAAGCGGGGGGCAGGAGGGGGGACAGCGAGAGGGGGGGCGCACGCCACAGGACGAGAAAGAAAGCAGAGCGAGGGAAGGGCAAAGAAAGCGAGGGACCAAAAGGGAGAGGCGGAGGAAAGCAAAAGGAGGGAAGGACAAAAGGAGGGGGCACGAGCAAGAAAAAGGGGGAAGAGGGAAGAGGGGCGGGCGGGGAAGGCGGAAAAGGAAGGGGGGGAGCACGAGGCAAGGGGGGAGAAAGGCGAGCGGGGAGAAGGGGCGAAAGAGAAGGGCCGAAGCAAAAAGGAGCGCACAAAGGAGGGGGCGAGCGGGAAAAGCGAAAGAACAGGGAGGGGGGAGGGGAGCACAAGCAAAGAGGGGGCGGAAGGGCCAGAAAGGCGAAGGAAGCGAAGGGGAAGGGCACAGAAAGCGCAACCACGGAAACGGCAAGACGAGCAAGCAGCGGGCAAAGAAGAAGCGAGGGAAGGCGGGCCAGAGAGGAGCGGCAAGAAGGACCAAGGGGGGGAGGCAGGCCAACGGGAAAGCAAAGCAAAGCAGCAGGCAAAGCAAAGACACACGAGGCAACGGCAAGACCGCGAAGCGGACGACAGAGGGACGGAGGGGACCGGGGGAGCCAAGAAGGGGAAGGGGGAAGAAAGAGACGCGCGGGGGGGGGAGGAGGGGCCAGGGACACGGGGACCGGGGGGCGCAAGAAGAAAAAGGAAGGGGAGCAAGGGCGACCGAAGCGGGGGAAGCAACGACAAAAGGAGAAAGAAGGGCAAAGAGCAAAAAGACGAACGGAGCGCGCGGAACCGAGGGCGGGAAGGGAGGGAGACAAGGGGGCAAGGCACAGGGAAGGGCGCAGCAAGGAGCGGCCGCAAGAACACCGCAACAAAACGGGGGGGCCGAAAGAAGAAACCGGACGCGCAAAGAAGCCGCACGAGGGAGGAGGAGGGCGGCCGGGCGCCCGAAACGAGAGGGGGCGGAAGCGAGCAACACGGCGGGCGACACGCAAAAGCGAAGCAGGAGCCAGAAGCAGGACAAGAAGACGCCAGAGGAGCGAGAGAAAGGGAGAAAACCAAAGAGGGGGAGGGGCAGAGGGGGGAGGCAAAGGGGAGGCAGAGGAAGGAGAAAGGGCAGCGAAAAGCGGGGGAGGAGCGGGCAGAGGAAGGAAGGGGCGAGGAGGGACGACCAGCAAGGCGGGCAGAGGGGGAAGAAAAGAGCAAGGGGGGGGAAGAAGCCAGACACGGGGGGGGGAGGAAAAAGCACAGAGCAAAAAGGAGGCGGGACGAAGAAAGGCACAAAAGGGGAACAAGGGGCAGAGGGAGGGGGGGGAGACGAAGGAGACGGGGGAAGAGGAGGGGGGCAGGGAAGGGAGGAGGGGGAAAGGAAGGCGCGAGAAAAGCCCAGCCCGCAGCCAGAAGAAGGGGGAAAGGCGGGGAAGAAGAAGGGGGAGGGGAAGCCGCGGGAAGGGAGAGGCAGGACGGGGGGAGGGGGGGCCAAGGAGGGAGCAAGGGGCGGGGAGGGGGGAAGCAAGGCAAAAGGAAGGAAGGAGGAAAGGCGAACCAACACGGCAGGACACAACAAAGGGAGCCACCCAGGACCAGGCACCCAGGGGAACCAGAGGGAAGAGGGCGCAAAAAGCACCCGCCAGAAGGAAGGAGGGGAAGAGGCAGGAAGGCGGGGAAAACAAGAGCAGCGACCAGGGAAGCAGGGGGCACGGGGAGCGAGCGCAGAGGGAACCAAAAGAAGGGACGAAGCGCAAGGAGCCGGAGGGGAGAAAGGCGAGGCAAGAAGAGCGCGAGCAAGGCAAAAGAAAGGAGGGGGGGAACGGGGGCCAAGACCGCGAACCACAAGGGGGGAGGAACCAAAGGGGGCGGCCGGAACAAAGCAAACGAAGAAGGCGGGAGGGGGAGGAAGAAAGCAAGGCGCGGGGCAAAAGGAGACGCGCAAGAAGAAGGAAGAGAGGGGGAGGAAACCGGGGCACCGGGGGCCGACGGGAAGCAAGCAGAAGGGGCCGAGCCGACGCCGCACACAAAGAGGGCACCGGGGAGCAAAGGGACGGGAAAAGCGCAGGCGGGAAGGGGCGACGCGAAGAAGAAGGGGAGGGCGAACAACCCCAGGGGGGAGGGAAAAGGCGAAGGGGAGAAAGGCGACAAACGGAAAAAGGCAGGGGAGGGGGGAAACAAGCACCGAGAGCGGGGGAGGAGACGGGGGCAAGGGGCGGAGAAGCGGGGGAGGCACCAAAGGCCGGGGGACAAAACGCGAGGGAGAAGGCAAGAGGGGGAGCAGAGGGGAGGAGGGCAAAGAGAGGGGAGGAGAGGAGGGGGGAAGCACGAACAAGGCGGGGGGGGAGAAAGGGGCGAAGCGGAGGCAGAAGAAAGGCGAAAGGAGCAGGAGGGGGGAAGGGAAGGACGGCGGGGGCGGACAAGGCAAACAACGGAAAGAAGAAGGAGGAGGCAGCAAGCAAGCAAAGGACACCCGCGACGGGAGAAAGAAGGGGCCGGGAGGGAAAAGCAGCGAGCAAAAGGCCAAGGAGCACAGCAAGAAGGCGAGACAAAGAGGAAGAGGGAAAGGAGGGCGAGCAAACAAAAGAGAGAGGAAGGAGGGGGCGCGGCGAGAGCGGACGGCAAGCAGGCCGACAGGGCGGAGGCGGGGGGAGGGGGGGCAAGAGGCCAAGCAAAGCCAAAAGAAAGCCACCGCACCGCAACAAAGAAGAGCAGACGAGAGCGGAAAGGCACAAGCAAGGGGGGAGGGGGGAGCCAAAAGGGACAGAGGGGACGCGAACGGGGGGGGCAGAGGCGGAGGGGGCAGGGGGCAAAAGAGACAGAAAAAGCACGGCCGGGGGGACAGGCCAGGGCGGGGGGGGAAGGGGGGGGCGGGGGGCAGCAAAAAGCAAAAGGCCAGCGCAACGAGGACCGCCGAGGCCGAAGAGAGGGCGGCAGGAAGGGGGGGGCGCAAAGGGGGGGAGGAAGCAACAAGGGAAGGAGGACGGAGGGAAGGGGGAGGACGGGAGGAGGGAGGGGAGAAGACGAGGGCAAGCGCGAGCACGCACAAGCCGGGGCGGCACGCAAGAACCAAACAGAGCGACAGGCGACAGCAGGCAGAAGGGAGCACGGGGAAAAGAAAAAGCGGAAGAGCGAAGAGAGCCCGACGGAAAACCAAGGGCGGAGAGGCGCACGAAGCCGGGAGGCGAAACGAGAGGGGCGACCGGAAGGCACGAGGGGGAAGGAGCGAAAGGAGCGAAGGAGCACGGACGGAAGCGCGCAAGGGAAGGGAGACGGGGCGCAAAAGAAAGGGGGGA